CTCTGCAGGATAGGTGTTAGATTCCCATTTACACAAGGGAGACAGCTCAAAGGGGTTAAGGCTTTTGCCCAAGTTGAACCCAAGTCTGTATGGCTCCAATGCCTATTTGCTTTCTCCCCATAAAATGATGGCAAATTCCTTTCCTATATATTTATTTTTTGGATGATGCTTAGGTTTTTTTTAAATTAATTTTTATTGGAGTCTAGTTGATTTACGTTGTTGTGTTAGTTTCTGCTATACAGCAAAATGAATCAGTTATGCATATATCCACCCTTTTTTAGATTCTTTTCCCATATAGGTCATTATAGAGTATTCAGTAACATTCCCTATGCTATACAGTAGCTTCTTGTTAGTTATCTATTTTCTATATCAGTTCAGTTCAGTTGCTCAGTCGTGTCCCACTCTTTGCAACCCCATGAATCGCAGCACACCAGGCCTCCCTGTCCATCACCAACTCCCAGAGTTTGCTCAAACTCATGCCCATCGAGTCGGTGATGCCATCTAGTCATCTCATCCTCTGTCGTCCCCTTCTCCTCCTGCCCCCAATCCCGCCTAGCATCAGGGTCTTTTCCAACGAGTCGACTCTTCGCATGAGGTGGCCCAAGTGCTGGAGTTTCGGCTTTAGCACTAGTCTGTCCAGTGGACCCCGGGGCTGATCTCCTTCACGATGGACTGTCTAGTAGTATGTCAGTCTCAGTCTCCCCACTCATCCCGACCCCACACCCCCATTGGTAACCACAGTTTATTTTAGGTATCCGTGACTCTGTTTCTATTTTGTAAATAAGTTCATTTGTATAATACCACTTTTTTAGATTCCGCATATAAGTTGCGTCCCTTACACGGCAATGATGCCACTGTCTGTGTTGGTGATGTTGGTCCTGCCCGCTGAGCAGCCAGACCAGGACTTAGCCCCGCTCTGTGTGACTGCAGAGGCCAAGCCGTCCCTGACCATTCTGCCACACAGCTGAAGGGGAAACAGGAGCTTGGTATTTACAGGTCTGCTCGTTCCACTTGTAGGAATATTGAAATTAGGGATACTTGGGAGAGTTATTTAGAATCATATTTTTATTTTATGGTCTTCTCCTCCCTGGTGGCTCAGATGGTAAAGTGTCTGCTTACAATGCGGGAGACCCGGGTTCAATCCCTGGGTTGGGAAGATTTCCTGGAGAAGGAAATGGCAACCCACTCCAGTATTCTTGCGTGGAAAATCTCATGGACAGAGGAGCCTGGTAGCCTACAGTCCATGAGGTCGCAAAGAGCTGGACATGACTGAGCGATTTCACTTTTCCCTGTTAGCTTCCAGAAGGCTTAGAGCCTTCCTAATAACTTTTATTTCCAAGGCATTCCTAAGTCAGAATTTGTTTGTAAATTTAAACAGAATTAATGGGACACTTGGGGTATAGAATAACTGCCCCGCCCCCTTGCTTTTGTGTTAATTTGGAAAGTCTCTGTGGGATGAGTCAGTTGTTCAGCTACCTGGTAGAGCTCTATAAATCTACTGCTCAGAGATTACATGAGCTCATACTTCCATTGTTCGGCAGAGATGTTGGTACACTGATTCTACTCATTAGAATGAAGGAAACTGCACAGGGTTCTCTTGAAGTCATCCCTTCCAAACAAATTAGGATTGGAGTAACAGCAAAATTGTGAATCATTTAAATGCTCATTAGAATTCCAGCTCACTTTTAGCACACAGGCATCTCTTGGCCTGGCTGAGAAGTTGGCTCAACAGTGAGCAGCCTTTAAACAACTTGTATGTATTCAAGTTTCAGAGTTAAATGAACAACAGTAGTTTGGGGAATGATTGCCCAGACTCCTTAGTGAAAGTTTGTATCTTCTGTTCTGAATTGGTCTGATTTGCACGCCCTTGTGCCTCAAAAAAAACTGTAATAATAATGATGATAGTCTTATGTCTGGCACTCCACATTTCATAGCAGGCCCACTTGCACATGTGTCCATTTGATCCTGAAAATAGCCCTGTCCAAGTTCTTCAAAAGCCTGGGCCTGGCTTGCACTGAGGCCCAGAGAGCTAGACCTCAGGACTATAGCTCTGGCCCATGGAGAAAATCTCCGTCTTCTAGAATGAGAATGATTCTAGTATGCTCCAATAGCTTTCCTTTTAGAGAGAACAGCCAATAAGCAGAATGTAATTCCCATGTCTCCTCCTATTTATCAGTGTATAAACACAGTTTGGGAAGCAATTTTCCACTCCTCTGTTTAAATCGGTAGCTCTTCCTCACGACTCACTCTTCTTTGTTTCTCTAGCATCTAGTACAGTTTTTAGGAAAGAAGAAATGCTCACTTTTCTGGTGACAGTTGAAATGAAAATGCTGCATATGCATTATCATTTTTCTTATTGTGGTTGTACAAGGATCTCATTTTCAGTAGCTCATTAGAAAAAGAAAGACAAAATTTGGAAGCCAGACATAGGAGGTGGGGCCTTATCACTTAGTCTGAATTCATTTTCAGATATATTTTGCTTGAAATTGCAGAACATGCTGTACTTAAGGCCAGAGGCAGAAGGGTGTTAAGAGACATCATTATTTGTTGAAATCTGTACTTGCGGGTTTGGGCAGCAGCTTTGGTAGTATAGGTTGGCTGGAGAAGATGAGCTGAATGCTGAGAACTGCTGTGGAGATGGGGAGGGGAGTTGTTGGAAACTGCAGGTCTAGGGTTCTGTCCAAGCCCCTCTCCTGCTGGGCCATGTGGTTCAGGAAATCTCTCCTTGTGGAATGGTCCTCTTGCTTGGCTGCACTGAGTTGACCTAGCACAGTGACTGGCAGGTGCAGACACTCATATAAAAGAGCAAGTGCCAGTGTTACTGGTGCACAGGCTGCCACCTAGGAGCAGCCCTGACTGGATTGTTGGGGCGCAGAACGAAGTGGGAGAGAGCCTCTTAGGTCTGTGCCTAGGTCTTAGCACTGTGGTCCTTGAGCTCAGCAACAAGCATAGTTTCTCTTTTCTTTCCTCGGAGATCCCTCAGAGGGATCTTGGTGACATGTGTAGCACTGGTACTTATTTTGGGGGTTCAAGCTCCTCTGGAAGCTAGGGGGTTTTTGTTGTTTTTAAGTTCCCTTCTCTCCTTACATCCTCGCCCCAAATGAACTCAGCTATGTAGTGATTCAGTTTATTTTGCTGAAAATTCAGTCCCTTGGGGAAAATATGATAATGCTGTTTTCAGACAGCTGTGTTTGGAAGGGAGACTGACTGAACCAGCTGGCTGGCATCATTGGAACCCAAAGACCTGCCAACTCATGGAGAGCAGCTGTTTTGGCTGAAATTCTTATCATTCTTATGACTTTGCTTCCTATATCTCAGCTTCTGAGTTCTGCTTTTTAATGCACGCACAAAGGGGAGAAAACCATGGGAAAGATTCTCATGTGTCTAGGGCCACCCATAGGTGAGGGGCATGGGGGTGCCACCACTTTCCTCTCATCACTTGTGATTACTGGGAAACAGATGATCCAGAAGACTCCAGAGTATGAGATAACAATGAATGGGTCAATAAATGTTGATATCGTAATACAGTGGGTATATTATGCAGCCAAGAATAAGGTTTGAAGATTTTTTTAATGAAGGGGGAAATGTTACAATACAATGTTAGAAGAAACATATAGGATACAAAACTGTAAAAAGAATAGGATTCCAATCATGGAGAAGTGTATTTTAACATTAAGTGAGATAACTCATACAAAGCACTTGAGGTGGTTCCTGACATGGTTGATACTCAGTAAATCACAGCTGCTAGATGCAGACTCTCTAAACCATAGGAAACATGTTGACCTCAAGTACTGCTGTACCCAGAATGCTGGTAGAAAGGAGATGCTCAAAAGATCTTTCCAGGCTGAATGAATTAGTGTTGTTGTTATCATATGCTCTTAAAAAGGAATCTAGAAAATCTAGGGACATAGTTTTTCTATGTTATCATCTGTCATTATATTTGTAATTGTGGCAGTTTAACCTCTCTGCCTCAGTCCTTCATCATAAATGGTGAGAACAGTACCTGATGCTCTGGGTCACACAGAACTGAGTGCGCTACATGGAAAACACATGCAGTGACTGGTCCTTAGGGAGCTGATATTGCAGGGTGGTGACTGTAATCATGGTGAGCACCATGTAAGTGGTGGCTGTTATAATAATTCTGTCATACTTGGATCTGTAGGAAATAAGACAACATTGTCATGAATTTTATCTGTCATTTTCTTCTCACCTTTTTTTTTTTTTACCATGGACCTGTTTTGTTTTATTTTTTGCAATGAAAGCTTAAAACAAAAAAGCTCATGTGAAAATAAAATTCAACTGCTAACAGTGGTTATCTCTGAACAGTGGAATTGGGAGAGTTTTTCTTTTTTCTTCTTGAAGCTTTTCTACATTTTCCAAACTGTTTGTAGTATGTATGTTACTTCTGTCATCAAGAGTTGGGAGAAACAGCCTTTTTTTTTTCAGCTCAAAGATAACACAAAACTGCTGAAGTAGAAAAGATGGTCCAGCTAGAGATGACTGAGGGCGAGAAAATGATGCCCTGTTCTGGGCTTCTTTGGGGGATGTTATTTAAATGCATGTTTAACATCCTCAGAAAATTGTTGTTAAGAACTAGGAAATAGACCCATGCACAGTGAAGAACAGGAAAGTGATTTTGATTAATCAGTTCTGGATAAAGGTAATCAAAAAAAATTTGAGTCCTTTTCACAGACAGTGGCTACTTTCCATTGGCCCTGGAGAGAACAACAGAAAGAAAATCCATGAAAATGATAACAGAAGGGGTGGGAAGTGGAAGTGGATGGTTCCTGACCCTTGGGGTGTACTTCCAAAGGAGACTGTTTCCTGCCAGTTCCTAGAGATGCTTACAATAGAGTCCTGAGCAGATGCTGGTGGTCTTTTTCAATCTTTTTCTAGCTGGTTCTTAGACCCCACTAGACTTTTTAATCATACAGGTCCGGACTTGTGCTTTCTTCCGGGTTCGCATTAGTGTGTAACCTTTTTATGAAACTATTTTGCAGATATTTAACACCGTGCCAGACACGCCCCTCACCAATGCCCAACTGCACCTGTCTCGGAAGAAGAGCAGTGACTCCAAACCCCCGTCCTGCAGCGAGAGGCCCTTGACACTCTTCCACACCGTGCAGTCAACAGAGAAACGTGAGTCACTGCCTAGGGTGCCCTAAGAACACCTTGGCCGCTTCCCCACTGCCCGGAGAAACTTACCTCTACCTTTGTGTGTAAGCTGCTGCCTTTTGTGACCTTGAGGACAGTGTATTGACCATCATGCCCTCCCAGGTTCTGTGGCTGAGTAACCTCGACAGGACAGGAAGCAGGGGTGCTGAGGATGAAAGGCAAGGAGCCGCACTGTCCAGGATCCACTTTCCAGATCTCCTGTGGGCAGATAGCTGAGCCTCTTTTCCTCCAGGCACACAGTCAAAGCTTAGTTCAGGCACTGCTTCTTCAGCCCCTCCTTTGTTATTGGCTCCACTGGAACCAGTTTCCCTTCCTTTTCTCAGGTTGTAATTCTGTGCTTATTAGCACGAGACACATGTACCACTGGAATGGGGCTTTCTCTGTTCGGGGACCTTGTTTGGCTTGCTTCTCCTTCCCCTCCACTTCTTCCAGGCCTGGCGCACAGTAGATACTTACCAAGTGTGTGGAATTAATTAATAAATTAATGAGAGAGCACTACCCTCCTTGCTCCAAATAGCAGAGGGTTCTCACCATGACTGTATCAAATCTTGTTTTCACTTCTGGATTTCTGAGTACTTTGCAGTGATCAGGTTACTGGGGTCTCAGATCTCCAGTGTGGTTTCTCTTCAGTTCCTGTAATGAGGGAGTCCACTGGTGGAGGAGGGGGTTTGAAGGCCCCAACACTGCCCATGGGCAGGCAGACCTTGGCTTCTGTACCAGTGACAGCATTTGGGCAAGCCTCCTACTTTCTCTCAGCTTCAGTTTACTCGTGTGTACAGTAGGGTTAATAGGACCTAACTCAGAGGAAAGTGATGGCGATTCAGCAAACTTATGCAGTTAAGCAACTAGCACAGGACTTGGCAAGGGTGATCGGCTGACAGCTGCTGCTGTTATCATTAGTTACTGTTTAATCACATGTAGGAACCGAGGAGGATAAAAACATGACCTTGTCTGTAAGGAACTCACGATTGAGTAAAGGAAGTAGGCAAGTGAACAGGTAATAGTAAGTCGGCAGATAGCTGCTCTCACAGAGAAGTGTGTACTGGGGAGGCAGGAGAACCTGGTGGTTGAAAGTGCTCATGGGCACAGCTGCCTGGGTGAGAGCCCTCCTCGACAGCTCCCTGGCTGTGTCACTTGGGCCCATTCTCTAGTATTGCAGGGCCTCAGACTCCTCTTCTGCAAGACAGGGGTAATGGTTTTCTGCCTCACAGGTTTGTTGTGAGGATTAAAGCACTTCAGATGGTGCTCTGTAAATGCTGGGGGTGTGACAGTGCTATGATTATTATATAATTATTATATATTTTATTTAATATATTAATATGTAGTCTGTATGGTTTTATATATTTATACAAATATGATATGTCTGTTATGTATTATGTGATAATAACAATATTCCCTATGAGTTACAGTAAAATCACAAATCAGAAAAAATGATCATCTTGGTTTTGAGGAGGGAAGACATTCTATATTTGGATTGTCATCTTTCTCTTTGTTACAGAAAATGTTTTCTATCCCTTTGTCTTCCAGAAGTAACAGCCTTTCTATCATTATTCCTGAGAACAAATCTGCCCTACCTTGGAGGATCACTGCTTTTAAAGAGATTGCTGTATCCCATAATGTGGCCACACCTTGGTGTATCCACTTGGGTTGTTTCAGATACCTTGCTTTTATGAATAAAACCACTGTATCATCCTTGTAGCTGAATCTGTTCATACTCATGATTATTTCCTTAAGGTGAATTCCTGGAAGAGTCCCTGGGTCAGCAGATAGGCACGGTTTCAGGGCTTTGACCCCATACTGCAACTGGCTTTCCTTCAGCCTGTGTTCCCCTTAAGTGTCTGGCTAGGCACATTCTCACTGTGGTCTGTACCAGAGAATACTTGCAGCAGGCCTGGCCTCACCCTCATCTGCCACGAACACAGTATCTGGCTGTGGGGTGAGAAGCTTCTCATATTTCCAGGACAGCCACGGTCACCTAAGGTTTTGTGCTAAGCAGTGTACGTTTGCGGCTCAGGACAGATCAAATGATATTGGTAAATACCTCTAAGCTTGAAAAAGTGCCAAGTTGATGCTTAGATGGGAACAGAGGCAGCTATGGATCAGGTCTTTTTTTTTTTTTCCCAATTGTTTTTATTAGTTGGAGGCTAATTACTTTACAATATTGTAGTAGTTTTTGCCATACATGGATCAGGTCTTAAAGCATATTCTCAGAGCATGTAAGAAAGAAGGTGGCGATTAGGAGAAAATCAATTAGATCTCTTCTCAAGATTGATTCTGTCACACGAGGCAGCGAGTGAAAGTTAAGGATGTGTGAAGGCAGACGTGCCTAAGCTGCAGATCAAGCTGTCCCTGTCTGAACACAGTGGACAGGAGGATGCGAGACAGGAAGACAGTGAAGCAGTAGATCTTCCCTGGGAGCAGAAGGGAACCCTCCCTGGAAACAGGGCTGCATGCTCGTGTGTGAGGATACTTGCGGGATGCTCAGCTTTCCTCCTTTCCTTGGGAGAAACATTGTCATTGAAAAGTATATAGGGGTGCATGTATAATATACTTTGTAGAGTTTGTTTTGGGACCCCCAGTTCCCTGAGAAATTAGAATATTACTCAGGCTGGCCTGGAAAGCACTGTAGGAGAAGTGGGTGAGGAAGACTGGCCAAGAGCTGAAAGGTTCTGCCAGCACTCACTCCTCCTAGGTTGCAGTGCAGCTGCTCACCACTGTCACATGAGCAGGTGACAGGGTACTATTGCCACACACCAAACCCTCCCCTTTGTCTGATCTATGAACAAAGATCTAAGATTTTTTTTTTCCATTTATTTTTATTAGTTGGAGGCTAATTACTTTACAATATTGTAGTGGTTTTTGCCATACATTGGCATGAATCAGCCATGGATTTACATGTATTCCCCATCCCGATCCCTGCTCCCACCTCCCTCTCCACCTGATCCCTCTGGGTCTTCCCAGTGCACCAGCCCCGAGTACTTGTCTCATGCATCCAACCTGGGCTGGTGATTTGTTTCACCCTTGATAATATACATGTTTCGATGCTGTTCTCTCTAAACATCCCACCCTCACCTTCTTCCACAGAGTCCCAAAGTCTGTTCTGTACATCTGTGTCTCTTTCTCTGTTTCGCATATAGGGTTATCGTTACCATTTTTCTAAATTCCATATATATGCCTTAGTATACTGTATTGGTCTTCATCTTTCTGGCTTACTTCACTCTGTAAAGATGGAAGATTTTATCAAAGCACGTCGCTGAGTTTACACTTTGGGATCAAAGTACTGGTGAAGACTCTGCAGGTAATCTGTGAAAAAAAACTTATATTTCCATACAGTGATGTCTTTCAGTTTAAGGCCTCTATCCATGCCTAGCTCAGTACTTCCCAAACTTGGCATCATTTACATAATCCTTCATCTACTCTTTGGGCCACAACCTTATAACTTTTCCACTGTTGTTTGTTTGATACATTGCTTTAAATCAGTTTTTAAGAACCTTACTTCTTTACATTGCCTCATCCTATTCAATAAAATTTCTAAAATATCAGTTTTGTTATCTTAATGTATTACTCTCTAATATACATGAAAACATTCAGTTCAGTTCAGTCACTCAGTTGTATCCAACTCTTTGCGACCCTATGGACTGCAGCACGCCAGGCCTCCCTGTCTGTCACCAACTCCCAGAGCTTACTCAAACTCATGTCCATTGAGTCAGTGATGCCATCCAACCATCTCATCCTCTGTTGTCCCCTTCTCCTCCCACTTTCAATCTTTCCCAGCATTGGGGTCTTTTCCAATGAGTCAATTCTTCACATCAGGTGGCCAAAGTATTGGAGTTTCAGCTTCAGCATTAGTCCTTCCAATGACTATTCAGGACGATTTCCTTTAGGATGGACTGGTTGGAGATCTCCTTGCTGTCCAAGGGACTCTCAAGAGTCTTCTCCAACACATAATTCAAAAGCATCCATTCTAAAGTGCTTAGCTTTCTTTATGGTCCAGCTCTCACATCCATACATGACTACTGGAAAAACCATAGCTTTGACTGGATGGATCTTTGTTGGCAAAGTAATGTCTCTACTTTTTAATATGCTGGCTAGGTTGGTTATAACTTTTCTTCCAAGGAGCAAGCATCTTGCTTTTTAATATGTAATATTAAATATTACATATGTAATATTTATATTAACATGTAATACATGTTATATATAATATATATAATAATGTAATAATTAATATGTAATGTCTCTGCTTTTTAATATGCTATCTAAGTTGGTCATAACTTTCCTTCCAAGGAGTAAGCGTCTTAATTTCATGGCTGTAGTCACCATCTGCAGTGATTTTGGAGCCCAAAAAAATTAAGTCTCTCACTGTTTCCTTTGTTTCCCCATCTATTTGCCATGAAGTGATGGGACTGGATGCCATGATGTTAGTTTTCTGATTGTTGAGGTATAAGATACCTTTTTCACTCTCCTCTTTCACTTTCATCAAGAGGCTCTTTAGTTCTTCTTCACTTTCTGCCATAAAGGTGGTGTCATCTGCATATCTGAGGTTGTTGATAATTCTCCCCGCAATCTTGATTCCAGCTTGTGCTTCCTCCAGTCCAGCATCTCTCATGATGTATTCTGCATATAAGTTAAATAAACAGGTTGACAGTATACAGCCTTGATGTACTCCTTTCCCTATTTGGAACCAGCCTGTTAAATACATGGATTTTTAAATATTAAATATTAAAACATAAGTAACTGTTAAGCTAAAGAATGTTCATCCACATCACACCCTAGAATTGTCATATGTCCCAACTGTGGAACATGTACCACAGTTTGGAGTCCACAGATCTTGCTCTAAATTTTTGACTCTGATCCTTCCTCTTAACATACACTAACTCAAGATTCTTCTGTCCAGTCAACTGGAATCAGGTTCGGATGTTGCCAGTTGGTTTTTATATCATTGTGGACACTCACCAGTCATCTGT